GCCTCCGCTCTCGTGGAACGAGGGGCGGGAGCTGCTCGGCCGAGGGGCGCGGAGCATCCAGCTGGTGACGCTAAATACAGCGCGTGACATGGGAAGGGTATTGAGCAGCGAGCCTGTGTTAGGCAGACTTGAGGGGGTCGAGTTGCCTTTCCTGGGAGAAGCTCCTTCCTCAAAGGTATGGATGGTACTTTTAAAACCCTTTGAAAGGCTCTCTGATTTATTTAGCAGACAGGAAAGACAGCTAAGGAGAGTCTGTTCCATCTCAGAAGTTCACACAGGGAGCGTAAAAGTGCAGCTGTTATATTTGCTTTTTGGCATGATAGCTGGCAGCCAGGGATTTGCCTTCCCGTAACTTTGGTTCACGTGTTTTATGTGCAGCGTTCATAGCACAGTGATGTACAGGGTTCAGAGAAACTTTGGGAAATAAAAACGATGACTCGTAATTGGTGTTAATGTAAAGCCCAGCTTTGCTTTACTCTGCCACTGTACTTACAGAGCTGAAAATGTCACGGGCATCTTGAAGATGCATATAAGACCTATTTTCCCCGGTTTCATGGGTGTTTATATGCAGCTGTTTTGATTTTTAACAGCAGACATTTAATTTTATATAGTGAACATCTGCATCTTCCAGTTAGAGTGCCACACTGACCCCAGCAGTGCCAGCTTTCAGCGCTGGCCTTGTGAAGAGCACACAGGGCTATTGCCAAGTGCCTTTGTTGGAAGGGCCTGTGGGAAATTAGGAGGTCACCTGTTTTTTGTGAATGCCAAGGCCCTTGGTGCCACCCGGATAGGGGTGACACCTGCCTCGGAGCAGCTTTGCTGGGGCACTGCTTGCTTCTGCAAGCATGGCAGCGGCGCGGCGCGGTGGCAGTGCTCCCCGAGTGCTGCGCACATTCCTGAGCCCTCTCTTCTTCTCACTTGCAGCTTGCGTGGCCCCACGGCTGCCTCGCTGGGCCGTCTTATCCCAGTCTTATTAGAACAAGCAGAGGCTTTCTCTGCCCAGGCAATGGCCAACGTTCAAGAACGCAGTCACAGGGAAGCCTAGTGCAACTGCTTTTTATTTGGTTAGAAAATAAATGCTCTGTTGCACAGAGCGTTTTAACTTCTAGTCTCCGTATGTCATCATCCCCGCTCCTAGCCTTTCTCCCTTCTCCTGCGCTGTGGGAAGACCACAGGGCCCACCGTACCGCGTGCCTGGCAGAGTTGTCTCGCTCCCACTCCCAGTCTAGTCTCTGAACACGGACCAGAGATGCAGCTCAGACTCATCTGGACCATCCAGGAGCGCTCCTCAGGCAGGGACAGCAGGAGACACGTATCTCCTATTCCTCTCCCACCCTCTTGAACTGAGATGCACGTGGGAAAGAAATGTCTGTTTAGCTGCTCAGTTTATTCTTCCTGGAGATGATGGGCTCAGGCCCTATATGTTTCAACTGTATATTTCATCAAATGTTTGTTTCAGTTATATATACTGTAATATATATACATACATATAGAGCATGTTTTCACGTTGTACAGTATGCATTATTATTATCAGTCAATTATTACATTAATATTTTGATCAATTCTCCTAACTCTTTAATTTAAAATCATTTTTATAAATATTTTATACGGTTTTGAATCCCTTGGAAATAACCAAGTGCAACACAACTCCAGTGAAAATTTATGGAATTACTGCATGGCAGAAAGAAAGGGGATTGGATTCAAGAGACTTAAGAAGATATGGACCTGGGGTGTATTTCTGTATAAAAAGCAGGAACTCCTGAGGGCACCTGGTTTCTCTGAATAGATTTCAAGAGGAAAAGGAGGAGACGTGTTTTTTTCCAGCAGAGGAGTCTGTGCGGATGAAAGCTCTGCCATTGCTGATGAAAATACAAGAGTAGAGAAAAATGGGCTTGATAACTAGGGGAGGAAGAGCAACTCTGAAGAACAGAGTTTGGGATTATTTCTATAATGTGCTAAAATAAAAATATCTTTCTCTTTTGAATTGTTTCTTTGTATTTCTCTGAAGTTGTTGCTACCAACACCATCTCCTTATTGCCCAGTTTCATTTGTTGAATAAAATGATTTAACAGCTATATGCTAGGCAGCTTTACCCCATTTCTTTTAGAAATCCTATAGTTTGATGTTAATGTTGATTTTTCTTGTGCAGGTTGTTTTCTGTTACATCTTTATCTTTAGCTCTGGGAGAACGAACGCATAAATAAAAATCCACTGTGGCTCTGCTGCTCTGCTGCCATTTAAATCCCTATTTATCTCACTCCAGGATGCCAGAGAGGAAATTTAATGTTGAGTATTGGTTCAATAAATGTCAGGAAGGGCAGGCAGTTTATATCCTCCTTTGGAATAAACATTTAGTTCGCCTGACAAAGATGGCATCAAAATAATGGGAGGAAAAAGCTGGTCGAGTAACCACTGCTTCTTTCAGAAGCTGAAAGTGGAAATAGAGATCATGCACACAAAGTTGAACCTCCAGAAGCGGTTGATACGCTGTCAGGGATTCAAATACTTTTTTGATAGAAGCAAGTTTCTCTTGTTTCGGATGTTGAACTCTGAGTCTTGGTCTTGCAGAATGCCGATGTTATTTTTCTCTCATCCGTAAGCGTTGCATGGGTTTAGGTATTTTGTGAAAGCATTATCTTTATGAGTATTATTTTTGGTGTGTTTTGTTTGCATTATAATAAAAGGCAAATACATCTGTTACCAAACAGGTTAATGAACAGCTGGAGACTTTGTGAGCTAAACTCCCTGAGGTTGTAAATGGGGGGTTGGATTAGGAAAAGGCAGAACTCCAGAGTGCCATACTCATGCAAGGTACTAAAGGCTTGCATGGGCTGTTACCATGATAGGTCAGGTAAAAAGCTTACTATGCTGTTATTTGTTTTATGTATAGTTAATTTACGTCCTGTTCATTTTACAGTGAGGGAATTGAGGATGTTTTTCTAAAAGAAAATCTTTATCAGTTAGAGGTCCTGAAATTGAATCTCTTGAGTATCAGATAATTGCTGTACCTACCAATAGCTGTCCTTCTCTTCCGGGTTCATCAGGAGACTATAGATCTTTCCAAGTAAGCCTCACTAACGCCATGAAGCGGTAGCATGAGCAGACTTAAAAACATCTGACTGAAACTAGGGTAATATTTGAATTAAGTCTGTACCCTTATAGGTCTCCCTTGGAGTGTTGGGCAGAGTTTTGACGAGATGAAATATTCTAGGGTTGTTTATTTGGTATAAAATACATAACAATTAGGAACTGTATACGGTATTAATTGTGTGCCGTATACTGAAAAAGATCAGATCAATAATATAATATTTAATAATGTAAGGGTAATATATGTTTCTGTAGTTTTGGACAATCAACTATTAAGTACATATCATATAGTGATACCTTTTTATGTTCTTTGGCAGAGACTCCCTTATCAATGGCCTTTTTGAACATACAATTTGTTGTAAGTTCATACAAAAAAACATACAAAAACATACAAAATGTTGTAATTTTTAATTACAACAACGTAATTAAAAATTCTTCTCATTCTTCAAATCTGATGTTCCTCGTGTTCTCATATCCTCATGACTCGGATGTATTTTGAAGTCTTTCCATTTCTTTTTGAGCTTTTTTATTACCTTTTTGCTTTTGCTTTGAGCTCATGCTTAAAAACAGAAGGAAAATAACCTCAAAACGAAGCCTGCAATTTGAATAAAGCATAGAATTAGAAACACACTTCAGATACAGACTTTCATCCCCGAGTGTGGCCAGTCCTTTATGCTAAAGCTTTTCTGTTTTACATCATGTATCAACTACTTGTTAAGCTGAAAACAAGCTAGCCAGGTAAGAATTTCAGTCCTTTTGTCCTTGTTAATAAGAGCAAGTGTAAGCAGATGGCTAACATGACTAAGCCTATTGGCAAAGCATAACATTCAACCTGGAATAAGAAGAGCAGAGACAATTTGGAAAAGCTGGCTCTTTTCACACTTGAGGCTGATGAAATCCCTGACTGTCCGAGTTTATTTCATAGACCTCAGAGGATACTGGAGCACGGGAGAGCTGGGGGTACGTGGGACTGGCTGAGGTGTGTATGGTGTGACCCTGCATGGGCATAAAACCAGCAGCTGCCACGGCACCTGCGGTCTGAGGCTGAGCGCCTGGCAGACTTACACAGGCAACAACTGCTTTGTGGGTCCCGATTCAGCTGGGGCAGGAAAAGCACATCAAAACGTTTATGAGCAGATGCAGAGTTTCAAAGCAATGGGGGAAGCGGGAAGACTGCAGACGGGCTACTGAGGATCGTAGGCGGCTGCGTTGCAGGAGTTAGGCTGGCAGGGGGTCCAGGGTTGTGCCTTCAGACTTAGGTAACTACTTTCTGTCTCTCTTGTACCTTATATTCCTACAGTGTCTCTTAGATCTGGCGCCAAGCTTTCAGCTACCAGTGACCTCATCCTAGATGTGATGATCCTGATAAATAAGTATCATGCTAGTGTGTTGTTCAGGCTGTTGTAAACACACAGGCCAAGCGTCATTGTTTCTTCTCCCCTTCCTTTTTCCCAGTTAGAGAGCTTGTTACATCTTTTTAATAGTTTAATCATTGGAAATGGTCGCCGTGAATCCTGACAACATGCAGATCAGGGCTGTCATCTGTTGCTCAGCACTGCGAACGCGGCAGGCGCGGTGCTAAGCTATGCGTTATTTCCCCTGCACATGGGAGTATTTGCCAAAGGAGCCCGATTCAGAGATTCAGCACAAGACATCCTCTCCTCACCCTCACAGTGGGTTCATTTCAAGTGGCAGCAGCTGGAAAGCAAGTTTGCTTAAAGTGTCCTACTTTATGTTTTGTAAGTGTCCCACTTATATGTTTCTTAAGAAACACATAAGAGTGAAATTGCTGTCTGTTCTTCGCTCTTGTGGCTAGTTCAGTGGAAAGTGCGAACTCTGGTCAACCAGATAGGTGTCCCTTGGAGCGCGCTGTTGTTTTGCCCCCTCCTTCCCAGCCCTGCATACAGGTATCCTTGCAAAGGGATGTGGACAACTTCACTGAAAGCTTAACATCTACTACTCTGGGTCAGTGCAGGAGTCCACCTAGACCTCTCTAAACATGGCCAGTAGCAGAGGCTGCACAGCAGAGACCATGGGCATGGAGACATGCTCTCTCAGCATCTGGTGTTTGGCAGTTTAAATACTCTGAAAGCCGGAGCTGCATAAGAGATGGAGTTAACCTTCACGACTGTGTCTAGTCCTTTATTTAAGCCAGGTCGTCTTTTGATTTCTACACGTTCTTTGGAGGTGATTACATATTTCAATGTGCTTTGTGTGGAAAAGTGTTTCTTTTTTTTTATTTATTTATTTTTAACTGCAATCTGGTAATTTCATTTGGCTCTGCCTAGGTCTTGAATTGTAAAAAATAGTGAATAATCATTTCCTGTTCACCTTGTCTAGGCTATTTAAAATCTTAGAGATGCTGTTCTCTCTCTCCTCAGTCGTACCTTTTTCCAGCTGAAAAGCTGCAGTCTGTTTGATCTCTCCTCATGTGGAGGAGACACGTGACTGACATGGCCAACTTGTTTAAACTTTCTTCACCGAAAAGCCATTGTAGGGGAACCATTTTAGGTCATTATGGAACTAAGATGGAGACATGTTTTATTTTAAATGGCTTCAGGTATTCTCATGTACTACCGAAAAGGTTGCAAAAACTGAATAAAATCCTGAAATGCCCCCCTCTCCCCCATCAAACCCCAAGAAAGCCTTACATGTGGTGATTCGCTGTGAGGATGTTTGTTCCACCAGGTCTGTTCCTTCCAGGACAGTCGGCTACCATACACAGACGTTTAGCTGAAGCTGCTGGGGCAGAATAAAACAGCTAGATTTCGTGATAAATAGAATTGTTTATGGCTGAGGAAAAGTTAATGTCTTCTATGGTCTAGCGTAATCTGGCATCAGTTTTCTTCACATCACGTAACGGTTCAGGTTGCGAGGGACGTGTCAAGGTCAGCTGGTCCAGCCCCCTGCTCAGAGCGGGCTGACTTTGACATTAGCTCTGAACTTTGCGCTTAGGTCAGCTTCCGCGGGGCCTTGGCATTCTGGCTCTCCGACTGCCCTGCGTTGCAGGCAGTATTTGCTTTTTGGTTCTGATTTTTATGTTTTAGAAAAGACGACTTTCTGTTTACTTGCTTGAATAATTATATTTTTTATGATCTATATTTTCTCTTAAGTGCCTTTTATATTAGTGCCCAAAGGGCTCCTTTAGATTTAATTCTTGTTTTTTTTAATATGCATTTTTTATTTTAATACTTAGACTCCTCACAACCTCTGGTTCAAATCTTGAGAGCAGCAGCACAGTCATATGTCTGAGCTTATATGGGCCTTTAGGATTTATTGTATGAGTCTTCTCAGCAAAGACCTTTTAGACCATTTTATTTCTGCTCTGCCTTAACTGTCTCTACATCGGGGAGAATTTTCGTCTGACTTTTAAAAGCTACTAACACCCTGCTCCCGTTTCCTGCACTGGCTTCTTCTGGTATTAAAATGAGGAAAGGGAACCCGGCTTTACCATTTCGTCTGAGCTAAAAAGCTAAAAGCGTTTTCCACTCCCTGCCTTTGGGGGACGTAAACCTCCCCTATGGATTTGGCTCCGTTGGCCTGGCGTGATGAGCCGCCCCTCTCGGCTACGGTGCCCTCTCGCCACGTCTGACTCAGCGTCTGCCATGCTCTGCTAGAGCTGATCATCACTGCAGAAATTAGGTCCTTGTACCTGCAGCAAGAGTTTAGTTGAAAGCTTCTAGAGCGATAGGATCGTTGTGCATGACAACAGGCGTTTTTTATTTGGTGTGTCCTTTCTTATGACCTCCTTGTCCATTTACTTCTCTTGCGCGTGCATGAGACTAGTGAGACATCATGTCCAATGGCTTCCTGTCTGGGCTGAGCACTGTGACAGAGGGAATTTAGCTTTTTAATTAGCATCTTTTGGTTTTTAGAGACTGGATTTTCAGGGCATAAAGGCCCTCATGGACACAGGTCCTTAGCCCCACATTTGCTACAGTAGGCACAGTGTGTAAAGTGCGGATTTTTACTGGTGAAAGATGAGGGATTTGTTCTGTAAGGAGTAAGTTGCTCTTTGCTCCTGGTTTTCGCTTCAGTATGGTCCTGTTACCATAGAGAATAGGGCCAGCTATAATATAATTTGAATCGCTCATTGGAAAAACACTAAACTGAACATTGCTTCTGATTAATAATTTTTATGATCTGGTTTCACAAAACTTCTAAGTGTTGTGTAAAATAGGCTTTCTATGCAGAATGGCTATTATTCATGTTCCTTTGGAAACTGAAATTCTACCGATACTAGATGCCCGTGGTTTAATAATGGCTTATAAAGATGCCAGAACCCTAGCATCAAAAGGACCAGCTGTATTTGAAACGCTTACCCTAAATGCTACTTACGAGCTTATATAACCTACTTATATATTTTTTTTCCTGTTTTGATAAATTGGCTTTGCCATCAGTTAGATGATGCGAAAATTTAGACAAGATAGTTTCTTGAATTCATTAACTTAAAAAAATAATTGCTTATGAAGGAAGTAAAGTTGGTTGAGGGGACCAGAATGCACCTGCAAAACAACAGATGCACAATGACAGTGCATCAGAGACATTTTTATAGTGTTTTTTAATATGTAAAATAGTGAATATCTCTAAAATATGTCCAAACTGATGAGACAGAATCCATAGCTATTTTTCCCAGAACATTGATACCAGAAGGATTGTTTCCCCCTCAGCATAAAACAAATGTACAGTAAATGCACGATAGTGGACTTAAAGTGGTTTACAAGTTTAGAAGTTGGATTCAGCATCCTAAAGTTGGGCTGTTAATCTAGACCTCGTTGATTTGTTTTTCTTGGAGGAAAACCAGCATTTCCCTTTTGGGTAAAATACAGCAATGAAGGTCTATCTTTCTGGTGTTGTCGCACTTACAGCCTTCCACCTAAGCTTAGATAATTACTTGAAAAAAGGTGTTTTGCTTTGTAAAGCTGGTTCATTATTCTGCCTTTACTGGGTCACATCTTACCTTTTATGAATTGGCTTTTTCACCCCCAATTTGTGCCACGAATCATAGTGTGCTGCGATACTTCTGCTGGTGCAGTCATGGAGTCAGGTGTTCAGTACTTCAGTCTGTGCGATACAAAATAGAGGAGCAAAGTCTGTAGACTTTGATTATGCAGTATTTACACTGACCATTTAGGTAAACACACTATCAGGGGCTTGAAGGTATTCTGTTTAATCACTTTGAGGTAAGATATAGCCTGCGACCATTACAGTGATAAAGCGTAAGTAGGCTTCACTTTGTTTAATGTGACTTCGTTCCTCAGCCAGTCCTGTTTCTGTAAAAGCAGAATTTACTTTTAGCTAATACAGATGGAGCCAAAAATCTTAACTAATGTGTCAATTTAAATGTAGTATGTGCTTTGGATAGCTGAAACTTTTTGAAAAATCCAAGGTGAGTAGAAATGTTTCACGCTGTTTTTGTTTAAATTTAAATTGAAACAGTTTATTTTAAAGCAAATCGATATCTCTGTGTACTTTGCAATCCAGCACAACATTAGAGAAAACGAGAAGGAACAAAAACATGCCTAACGTAATTCATTTTCTTTGTCAGATGCAAGAGAGAGATACGAAGTAAGCTAACAGTAGTTCATAGAATGGCATTTATTTCTTTACAGTGTGACTTTTAAATGTCACTATCTCTTTAAATTCCGTTCAAAGCAAAGAATCAAATTTACTTTTCCATTATTATTTTTGCATTGGAATATGAGAACTTAACGGCTTGTTTATTTTCTTGGTCCCCTTTGTTCCTTAGTTTCTGAACTGTATTAGAGCTATTCATATTGTGAAACACTGCAGGCAGACGCAGTTGTCGTCGTATACCCCATACAGTGCGTTCTTGCTGTAGTTAGCAGGAAAATTTCCATGGAACGGGATTTTATTTCAGAAGTCTTCACCCAGTTGTGCTACTGAACCCCATTACGATGAGAACGTAAATGAGTGCTGTCACGGGAATAAGTAGCAGGAGGAGAGGAACTCCTCTGAGCCAGGGGTTCCCTGTCAGGCGAGCAACATGGAAATGCTGGGACCTGAACCCAAGCACGTGGCAGACAGATCTGTAAATTGTCTGCACCGGTGAAGTATGGCGCTCTTGCATCTATAACGGGACAAAACCTTTTCCAGTTTCCTTCAAGGGTTGTCGTAAGTTGGAGGGGTTTTTTTGTTCCGTTTTATTAACGCACCTCTTGAGGAAACAAAATGTTTAGAAAGCAGTCATTGCAATATTAGTGAAAGAAGAGCACGTTAATCCTTATCTTGGCTGTTGGGTGTGTCATTTCCATAGAAAATGATTCTATTAAAATTGATAGGAGCTCCAGAAGGCCTGCGCAGAGCCTGTTTCTCTCTGCCCTTACTTTTGGGATTGCAAGTCATGGTTCTGTTGTGACTCTGTAGGATGAAAAATAGAAAAAGGAAATTGGTTAATCGGTGTGTGAAAAGTATGAACTTTCCATGTCCTTTCACGATGTGCATCTTTGTCCTTTTGCGGTGCCCGTGAAGAGTGCTAATTCTGTCTAGCGCGTTTATGCTCCCATGCCGGGCTACCGCCGCGCGAATGCTCCTACGGCAGCGCCGCGCGAACAGCCTGGGCTGGTCGATAAGCTGCCCTGATGCTTAACTTGCAGCCACGTTTCCAGGTGGCGGCTGCGAGGCCCGCGAGTAAGCTCCTTTCCTATGCAGTTGCAGAATGCTGCTGCTCCGTGTGTTTTGGAAAACTCAGAGTTGTCAGGAATTGAGAGAAGACTGATATTTATATAACGTTAGCACCTGATTAGTCTTTGGGTATGCTGCAGAGAGTTTTAAAAGTTACCCAAATAGTGACAAAGGGATGTGCTGCTGACTTGCTACGGGAGACAGGAACTTGCAGCTTGCTGTATCAGGAAGCCCTGGAAAGCTGCAGTGAGGCTGTTTCACTGAGCCAGTGCGTTGCTGTCTAGTATTATTTCTATTTGTTAGGTTTAATATTTTGCCTTTCTCGGTTTTCCCTTCTCAGATACTACTCTTACGGGTCTAAAAGTATGTGGAAGTATATTACAGTTTTCCAGAAAACTGTAATATGGGAGATAGAAACCAATGCGGAGGTGAGAAGTTTGATTCTTTGATTTGCTGGCTGTCTTATAATTAAGGTTGACTGCCACAATTAATCACGAATTTACAATCGGGATCATCTGTTGCTATGGTGATGTGATGGCTCTAACCTTGTAGCACCCCCTGCGTTGCTGGCTGAGAGCTGTCAGCTAGCTGCCTTGCTGAGAACTGACTTCATCCTGCTCTGAGCGATTGAGGAGGAGCCTGTGGGTGATATTTTGCCAAAATCACGGTTACTTAACAGCATGAAGAAATATTTTTTATACCTTTAAAATAGAAGAGCCTGTGCAGAGTGGAAGAGGCTCAGTAAGAAATAGCGTGTCGCTTGTTACTGCCGGACGTCTGTATTCTCTATTTAAAGTATCTGTCCGTTAGAGTCACTCCGTGTGCACCTTTGCCCCCTAGGGGCTGAGTTCCTCGCAACTTTGTCTGTCCTCAGCTTCCCTGCCTGGCGGAGATTCCTGTTGTGTGAGTGAGGAAGGAGGGTGCAGAGGCAGTAAACGACTCGGGCTAAATGAATCACGCGCAACACATCTGTAGTTCATGGGCCTTGGTTGCCTTTCCAGTCCGTGGCGAGCGTTTCTTCGCAGCGCACAGAGGCTTGTGGTCACTGTAAACAGGGTTTGCACAGGGGCTGCCGTATGCTGTGGAGTTCCTCTTGCACTGAAGTGCTCAGCGTTTTCAGAACTGAGTGCATTTATAAAATCGTTCATACATTCAGAGACTCTTATCGCACTACTTAGGCACCGTCTGAGAAGTGGTAGAGAGAAAAATTGCTATTTCTATTTTTAGCATACTTGCAGTGAGCTTCTGCTAAAAAGGTCATCTGTGTATTGCTGTGGTGCCTCATGCCGGGGAACAGGGTCTCTAGGCACTACCATGAAAACAAATAGTATTTCCTAATTATAACAGAAACCAAGGATTCTTGGAGATGGTGTATGAGTCATAAGTCTTCAAAGTAAAGTAAATGTTATTTAACATTTACTCTGCAAAACCACTTAGAAGCCTTGATACGACTGGGTTCTCCAGGAGGCTAGATACTCTGCTGCAGGCTTTGAGTGAGTGACCGTCCTGTTTCATTGTAATAAACTCGATGACAAAAACAAAAACCAAAGCAGTCGACACTCTTCCACGCCATCTAGGTGCATTATATTTATCAGGGACGTATTTCCAGCTTATTTGTAGCTATTTTCTTTCCTGACTGCCTTTTAATTGTAGCAGGGCATTTTGCAGTGCTAGATGTGACAAAGTGTATACGTGGTTTCTGGTAGAGCTGACATGTGGGTCCGTGTTTCAAATGCTGTGCATCAGCCAGGCAGCTTTTTAATAATCTCCCTTCTCATCTGTAGCTCATCTGTAGCTGCAATATTTGCTGATAGTCTTGAAGAGTTATTCCCATCCTAGCAGGAAGCTAGTTTCTTCTTCAATTTACTGTTACAAGTGCTAGATCCCTGTAGTGCCATTTTTTCCGCCGTATTTTTTAATTTATTGCTAGGCTTAGGCTTGTTCTTTGTGTTTGCAACAGGATGGTTGCTCCAGTCGGGGCTCCTGCTTCGCTGTCCTGGAGTTACTCTGAGTCGTTTCATGCCACGAGAGTCGCAGAGCTGGGGCGGGGGGGCTGGCACGATCAGTTAGTGACTTAGCGAGGAAGCTAGACAGCGTGGCTCTCCATTCTTCCCTGCCACAAATAGGGCCTTAAAACTCTGCATGGTTCTTCTGCAGCTTGGAGCAAGTGTGTGTGCGTGCGCGTGTCTCGGAGGGATTTCACTGATCTGCCTTCGTGCATCTGCGTTTGCTCGTGCCCCCTGAGGCACGTGGTTCATCCTGTACTGGGTGCCTAGGCAAAACGGCGTACTTGGCACTTACACAGAGGTCTTTGACAAAACATGGCAAGACTTTGAATCTCAAAGATTTGAAGCATTAAAAAAAATTCCACGAACAACCTGGTGGGAATTAGCAGCACTGTGCATTGGAGCAGAATACTCTGGTATGTACTTTCTCATCAAGCTGCGTCATTAAATTTAAGCTGAACCCCATTGTCGGATCTTTTTTTTGGAAGAACGTGATGGAAAAAATTGGAACCTGTTGTTCTAACACTTGCTAAATAAAGCCTCTTATTTGAAACTAGTTGTTACCTTTTTAGAAAAGCAATACCTTTAAAGCTCAAGAAATGAAAAAAAGTTGAAATAAAATTTTCATGTGAGATAGGCAAGTAGCTTAATCTAGGTTATGCATAGTATCAAGGGAGGTAATTAAGGTGATTAGGGTGTAGGAATACAGTGTAGACCCAAAAAAGCTTTGCATTCAACGTCTAGAAATTTCTCCTTACTTTTTGCATCTGCTCCTAGCCCTCTCATAAGTATGTTGTTATTCATTTCTTAGGTGGTGTGCATCTGAAAAATAGCTGGTTCCTTGTGCTTTAAAACTGATGTCTGCGGCATGTATTTTGTAAACAGATCGGATATATATAAAATGTATGCAAATCCACTATTATTTTATAGTAAAAAATGATGATGTTTTTTCTGGTCTGCTATTTAAGCAGAGCTAAAAGAAAACCATAGATTCAGGTCTGTGCATCTTGATGCATGTGTGATGTGCAGTAGCAAGGTCCTCCTAACGTAGCCTCCTAAAAACCTACTCAATGAATAATGCTAAATCCCCTCCTTAATTTTATATTTGCTGCAGTAAAGTAGTAAAGCATTAAGACGTACTGTTCAACTATGTGAAGAATAATTTTAGATATATATGACTTTTTGAACTTTTGGTGGAAAACATGGGTGATAAAATTTTGCTACCAGTTATATATCAGTGGGAAACTTGGCTTGCAAGAATTTGATAAGGTCTTAACCGCCCGTAGAAAGTCTCCTGTAGTAAAAACAGTGATTTTTAAACTTCTAGCATAATAAAACTTAAACTTGAAGTTGCAGAACGCGTCTCTCCTTTGTGCTGGTGTCCTGCATGACCTATTTAGGAT